TAGAACATAACATTGTTTTATGAAAACCATAAAAACATCGAAAGATAATAGTTCACAAATTCCTACTAACTCACCCCAAAAATCTCAAGATCAAGAGACAATAATATCCGATATTCTATATCTTGTGTTCTTCACTACTCCCTTGTGTATACACTTAATCTCTGTATATATCTTGTGTTCAGTTTTTCTTTTCGTGAATTTAAACCCAAAATAACACATTATTAATAAATCTTGTATACAGATATTCGTATTTTTAAAGATGTAGAATATCGGATAACATAAGTTGTTTATTTATTTTAAATAGAAATTAAATTGCATAATATGATGATTTATAGAACTTTATGACTGATTAAATAAGATGACAGGTCATATTAATTTTTGTGAGAGTTATTCTAGTGATGACACATAAACAATTTTGATAAATCACTTCTCAAACAATGTTACATATTAATTATTTGAAAGTTGTATACATGTTAGCTCCAAAATTATTTTTCGTAAGAAAAAAATATATATAGATATATACCACATGAAATCTCAACTACAAATTAGGTATCAAATACCATTGACTACATACATTTTATTTTTCGTTAATACTATTCTAAAATCATATATATGAGTGAGTATTTTTTTTGTTTAGCTAAACTATAAATATCATTTAAAATGAAAAGTTTAGGTTTTACATATTGATTAACAAAATGATTAAATCTACGCAATTGGTTCCATGCCAAAAAAAAGAAACACTTCGGGGACCTCGATGACGTCTCGGTAAGGCATCAGTGCAAACCTTAGTGAGCCGTAGAGTAACACAAGGATATTAGTATGACCTTGAAGTGCATCGATAACGCCTTAGATGAGACATGATCCAGATCGATTGCAGATCGATAGAGTCTCGATACGGGTAGTGATGACGGATGATAGAGATTGATATGTAACCACCTAACGATAGAGTCTCGATCCAGATCGATACAGATGGACCGCGGATCGATATGGTCTCGGCAAGGGAAACGATGGCGACGGGTAAGGATGACCTTTCAGACCCGGTAGAAAGTAAGTATAAATCGGTAAGGCTTTGATAGAGAGATCTATAGAGTCTCGGTCCGGAACTAACACAATTTCGATTTGGCAAACAAGTGTTTGGCCTACGGTGTAGTGGCAGAGCAACCAGTTGATTCAAAGAGGATCCGGCTATGAGGCTAGTATGGAACTCGACAAGGTCGGGGGTTTTGATAAGTTACTCAGTCTATAATAACGATTGATCATGGTTACGTTTGATGTGTAGGGTTTTAATGATGTAATACGAGTTTTAAATTTATAACCCTAGGAAACTGCAAGTGCACAGTAAAAACAATTGTAGTACTTAGGGGTCGATCCACTAAGGACTAAGTGATGAATGCACTACAAACATATATGATTCCAATTAAGCTAAGTGAACATATTATTTGGTTTTTAGGGTTTTTGATGAAACAAATAACAAGCAATAAAGTAAAGGGATAGATATCAATTAAGATGAGAAATCAAGCAATTCACAATACATATGCAAAACACAAGCAATCGATTTAGGATTTTAATACTAGTTGTTCTAGAACTCATATCACTAATGTAAGGTCATCCCACTGTCGTGTCGTAACTAACCTTCTACACTTTCTACCCTAATAGACTCAACTATCGCAGGTTATTACAAGGTGA